GGTTTTTTTTTTTTAAATTATAAAGATGTGGGGTACATTTCAGGGTTAGGTATATAAACATTGATCATGCAGGTACCCTTGTTGATGAAGCATGCCCCTCCCTCCCCCCAGCAGTTTCCCTCAACTGCCAATCCCACCCCCCGGACAGTTTCCCATTACTGGCAATTGCTTTCTTATAGCATTATAATTGTTCAAGTTCCGCTTATGAGTGAGAACATATGGAACTCTGTTCTTTGTGTCTGTGATAGATCACTGAGTATGATAGACTCCAAATCCATCCAGGTTGCTGCAAAGTCCATATATTTGTCCTTCTTTATGGCTGCATAATATTCCATCGTGTATATGTACCACATTTTTTTAATCCAGTCCGGCTTCGATGGGCAACACGGTTGGTTCCACGTTTTTGTTATTGTGAATAGAGTTGCAACAAACATACGTATGCAGGTATCTTTTTTGTAGAATGACTTTAGTTCCTCCAGGTAAATTCCCAATAGGGGAATTGCTGGGTCATATGGAAGGCCAATTTCTAGTTCTTTCAGGAATTGCCATTGCCACACTGTCTTCCAAAGAGGTTGTACTTTTTTTTTTTTTGAGTTGGAGTCTCACTCTGTCGCCCAGACTGGAGTGCAGCGGCCACTCCCGGCCACCACAGCCTCGCCTGCTGGGCTCCAGCGATCCTTCCGCCTCAGTCTTCCGAGTAGCTGGAATTACAGGCATGCGCTACCACGCCCGGCTGCTTTTTTGATTTATTGTAGAGATGAGGTCTCGCTGCCCAGGCGGGTCTCGAATCTGCGGGTTCAGGCAATCCACTCACCTCAGCCTCCCAAAGGTGCGGGATGACAGGCTGAACCACCGAGCCCGGCTGAGGTTGTACTTTTGAAAAAAAATTTTTTAATTTTTAAGATGTGGGGTACAATTCAGGTTAGGTATACATATTTAACTTCTAGAATAGAGTATACACAGGTTTTCCCTTTCTCAGAGATCACTAGAGCATATCTTTTTGGAGTGTTGCTTAAGTCATTTTTATGATCAAAATATACATCAAAATACAGGAGTCAGCTTTGCAAAAATCAAGTTATAGTTCCAACTGCTCATTGTTTCAAAAGACAAAAAAAGAAAAGAAAAAGCTTTTCCACTAAGAAAAGGTGTGAGCTCTGGGAGGAAGCTGGTCAGGAGTCCTTAGTGGCTATGGGTTATAAGGAACAACTGTCCCCTGGCTTGAGGGACAGTTCAGACCTCCTGAGAGTGGTACAGGCCTTGGTTGTTGATTCCAATGACCTCTCAAACTGAGGCCTGCACCCATGCCCCTACTAGCCTCTCGTTCTTGCTTCTTTGTCACACGCTTCCTCTGGTCCCCCACTCATCCATGAAGTTCTCAAACAGCAACTGGTGATATCCTCAACAACAACCTCATCCTGTGGGCCACTAGAAAGAACACACGTGCAGCTTTTCTTGGGGGCACCGGCACAAGGCAAGCATGTTTACCTGCACAAAAAACACTCAAGCCTACTCTTCAGTGTTGGAGTAAGTTAAGACAAGCTTGGTTCCGAGGTGGCAGGAAAGGCGGACTTTGCCTTCAAACATCGCCCCCTAATTTCGACTCTTTCTACTAAAATCCTACTAAAAGTCTTCCCTAGGATAAGAAGGGTGATGAATAAGCCCCCTGCTGCCCAGGGCACCTGGCCTCCACTTTCCAATACCAGCAGTTGGGCAGAGGGAGGTTTGTTCTCAAGGTGAAGGTGAACTATTATTTGGTTCTTTCTACAGAAGCATGTATTAAGAAGAATGTGAATGCATTAAACAACACACAGACTGCTGAGACAGTGAGCACTGTTTCAAGGTATTCACCTTTGTCAAAAAGATGTGAAACAATCACTAGAGTAGCAGAGTCTACTTACTTTTTTTTTTTGAGTGGGAGTCTCACTGTGTCACTCAGGCTGGAGTGCAGTGGCACACTCACAGCCACTTCAGCATCGACCTGCTGGGTTCTGAAGATCCTTTCGCCTCAGGCTTTCACGTGGATGGAACTACAGGTGTGTGGCTACCACGCCTGGCTAACTTTTGATTTATTGAAGAGACCAGGTCTTGCCAAGTTGCCCGGGCGGGTCTCGAACCCATGGGCTCAGGCAGTCCTCTCACCTTAGTCTCCCAAAGTGCTGGCGTGACAGGCTGAGTCACTAAACCTGGCCAAGTCTACTTTCTTAAATTAGAATTTTCCAAATTCTCTTGGTTTTACACTTAAAGTTCATTTGTGCCATGTGAGGACAAGCTAATTTATTCTTTCAATCGTTTGAGGAAAATAAAGCCCCTTGAGAGCATAACAAAGTGTCAGGGAGGTGCCTGTCTGCGAGTTTGTGTTACCGTGGTGGTGGAGACCACTAAGCTGTCACCAGGAATCACACTCCCTTCCTTTTACTAGTAGAACCACCCCCCTCCAACCCAGGCTTTCTTTTAGATTAAAAAAAATAGAAATTTATAAAATTTATATAAAATATTTTATTTAGAAAGTAAATTGGAGAGAGAGAGAAAGAGGAGATTCACCTCCCCAAGGTAGGGGAGGGGACCAAAGCTTAAGAAAACGGCCTGACCATAGCCCAAAGAGCACATGGCCAAGAGCACAGCTTAGCAAGGTAAAGAGCACATGGCCAAAGAGCACAGCTTAGCAAGGCAATGGCCCACCTCAGGTTTTATTTGGATACATGGTGGCCTAGTTGGAGACTGTATTGAGCTAGCTGGCCCATGTGACCAAGTTGTGGCCAACAGGATGTAAGCAGAAGTCGTGTGTTGTGTGTGTGTGTGTGTGTGTGTGTGTGTGTGTGTGTGTATACAGCTTAAAAAGCTTGGTAGACTTCCTCTGTCCTCCTGCTGCCTGGGAGTCAGTGACAATCCCATAGCTGTCAGTCTGAATCCCTGGATTACTTTGTGGATTCACTCACCTTTGAACTGCTGAATTTAAGAAAAGCAGACCTCTATCTTGCTTTAGCCCCAAGGGTTTTGTGTCTTTTCCTTATTGCTGCTTCCTCTATGCATTATTTCCTTTCCTGGAAAGCCCCACCAAGAAGCTTCACCTACTCACTGAATGATCTGGATTTACTAAGACAACTTAAAGGCTAAATTAATGTAATTAAGTAATGTTTATTTTACATAAAACAATTTCCAAAGAATACATTTAAAAACAATCTAGATACTGATTTTATAGCATTACAAAAAATCAAGAGGCACAATTGAAGTGTTCAATAAACTGTGAGGGTGGAGGTGGCCACGTCTCCATCGGGTCATTCCCTCGTCACGCACAGGCTCTGGAATGAGTCTTCACATGAGGCAGTAGTGCACTTTCATTTAGTAGGAATAAATCACATAAAATATATACTTTTATACAGAAAGTGTTATTGTATTGTCATTTTCAATTACTTATAAAAACTTCATTTTGAATTGCACGAAAGTTCTCTTTAAAATTGATAACTCCCAGAAGACAGGGCTTAGAACTATCTGTCTAAATAATTCATTACAAACAATTAGGTTTCAATTTCTCCACAGATAAAAAAAGTCTACGAAGAATTACATTATTCAAGTGGGACATTTAAAATTTTTTTATAGGAAAATAGGTTTGCATGTTTGTCCCTAGTCAGTTAAATTTTTCCTCTTACTTTAAAACAGATCAAAAGATGTTCAAAGTTTTAAATTAGAGTACCTATAACCACAGAACAATGTGCATGTGCTTACATCAATTCATTCTGCGAATCATTCCACTGCAGTATCCAATGATCAAAAAGGCACATGGGTACATTCTTCAGAACAGTTTTGGTCTTATAAAACATCACACATTATAAACAGTGATTTCAATCATGTTTAAAAACAAAAATACTAAACAAATTCATTTCCTAATCCAGATGATAGCGAATCCATGAAATGTCTGCAGGCACATCACTTTCCATAGAATTTCTTGTTCAGCAAGTATATGAGAAGGTTTACATTCACTTTAACCTTATCAAACATTTTCATTACAGCCACTCCTTCATACTGCATCTGAAGTAGGTCCTGAAATCATAAAAGGCATCATGAAATCTCAGCCTTGACATTTTATGCCCTTTGAGACAGGTCTTGCTATGTGGCCCGGGCTGGCCTGGAACGCCTGGGCTCCACCATCCTCCTAGCTTAGCTTCCTGAGTAGCTGGGACTCCAGGCACATGCCACTCTGCCAGGTCATAGGTGGGATTTCTATTTTTTTGAGTTGGAGTTTCACTCTGTCGCCCAGGCTGGAGTACAGTGGCACACATGCTCACGGCCACCCCAGCACTGACCTGCTGGGCTCAGGTGATCCTTCCGCCTCAGCCTTCCAAGCAGCTAGAGCTACAGGTGTGCGCTGCCACACCTGGATAGTTTTTGATTTATTGCAGAGATGAGGTCTTGCCAAGTTTCCTGGGCTGGGTCTCGAACTCGTGGGCACAGGCAATTCACTTACCTCAGCCTCCCCAACTGCTGGGATTACAGGCTGAGCCACCGAGCCTGGCCAGATGGGGAATTTTTTTTTAAGATTGAAAAATATAGTTTATTTAGAAAGTAAATGAGAGAAAGAGAGAGAGGGAGAGGGAGAGGGAGAGGGAGAGGGAGAGGGAGAGGGAGAGGGAGAGAGGAGGCCAAAGCTTGGAAACATGGCAACCATAGCTCAAAGAGTCACATGGCCAGACTATAGCTTAGCAAAGCAATGGCCCAGATGGGGATTCTTAAGCTTTAGTGTTCAAGAATCATCAAAATCATCTGATTAAAAATATATTCTACTTAAAACACAGACTGCTGGATGACTTTCCCAGGAATTTATGATTTTGTAGCTCCCAGATAGGGCCCACTAATTTGCATTTTAACAAGTTCCCAAGTGATTGTGATACTGTTGGACTTTATGAATCACTGACCTAGATGAAAGAAAATTGGTTTTTAGAATTGATAAGGACAGTGTGAAAGAAAATGATTAAGTTAATATCAAATATATAATTATTTATCTTTTTTGGAGTAGGAGTCTCACTCTGTCACCTAGGCTGGAGTGCAGTGGCATGCTTGCAGCCACTGCAGCCCCAACTTACTGAGCTCAGGTGATTCTTCAGCCTCAGTCTTCCAAGAAGCTGGAATTACAGGCGTGTGCTACTATGCCCCACTAATTTTAATTGAAAAATTCATAACATAAATGTGCCAGCTAGATGGTATATTAGTACAGCAGTGTTTTCTAAAGTGAGCAAGGCAATTCATGGGGGGAAGATGAAAAGAATATTACGACTCCTATTTATTTTTCTCATTTATTAAACATTTCATTTTTGTATGTATTTATTTTTTAATTTTTAATTCTTTTTGAGTTAGAGTCTCATGATCTGCTGGACTCAGGTGATCCTTCCGCCTCAACTTTCCAAGTAGCTAATTTTTTTACTTATTGCAGAGACGAGTTCTCGCCAAGTTGCCCAAGCTGCTCTCGAACCCCTAAACTCAGGCAATCCTCTTGCCTCCGCCTCCCAAAGTGCTAGGATTACAGGTGTGAGCCACCACAACTGCCCTTGAAGCATTTTTTTAGAGTACAGTAGTAGAAGCATGAATACTGTAAGTATGCACATCTGGGGAGAAGTGCTCACACTATTTTCTGATGCAGTCCTATCACCAAAGTTTGGAGACCACTGTACAAAGCTGGTCTAGACTAATTTTGTTCCTGTACCGAGAACAAGCCCTCATAATGAAGTCTGACTATCATTCAGTTTTTCATTGCCGCCATATAAACAAAGGAAATCAATTCTCTTAAAAATCAGTAACTGGGTAACACCATCCATATGCAGAAAACCAAGCCGTGACAGTTCACAGTAACACGCGACAGGAAGCCTTTTTCACTAGAAGAGACCATTCCTGAACAATCCTGGACTAACACCTAGGTCTCCTTGTTTCTAGCTCTGGCAATTTCTTAGCTCTTAATGATAGTGTCAGGGGACTATAGTAAGCAAGGCCAGCTGTAGAAGTGGAGTCGTGTCTGAAAGAACTTTGGCTCTTGACAGCTTCTGGCTCCACTTCCTCAGTTACCTCCAGCTTCACTCAAATAATCCTGTACATTATTCAGATCTGCTTCTGGAAGTGAAATTCTAAAGGGAGCTGAAGTCCTTCCTGTTACCTATTAAAGTGTAGTGGAGACTCACTTTTTCCCGAGAAATCTGTTAATTGAAGTCTCTTGGAACATAATTAAACCACCATGCTTAGGTTGAGAAGGAATGGTGCACACAGGGGAAGTGGCTGAGTCTCCTAAGTTGGGAGCAGAGAAAACACCACTGCACTTGTGATCAGGAGACCAGATTTTAGTCTCAGGTCTCCATCTGCTGTCTTAAGACCTTGCAACATGACATAGCCTCCATGAAGTTCTGTTTCCTTGTGTGTAAGTTGGGGATAGCACTGCTATCCTCACAGGGCTGCTAGTGGGAATGAGATGCGAGATTGAGGTATCTGCAAATTTTTTTTAAGCCACCCTGGTCTTGTGTGATCAACCAAAATCTGCAGAGACAGGCAGTGCAGTAGGGTGAGGAAGAATACCCACCTGCAGCCTCCTATAAACTGCTGGCATTATTTTTATCATGTAGGACATAGGTCAAACCCTCCCATACATCCTGGCATGTATATGGTCTACAGTTATGGGGTATACTTCTATGATTTTCTTCAGGAACTGAAGATGAACTAGTGACAGAGCTGGAATGTGAGAAGGTCTCCCTTAGTCCTTTCAGAAACTTCTGTCCTGTTCTTAGTCTTGACTCATGCTGAAGATTTGGTCATCATGTTTCTCTTTGGTAATTTACACATTCATGAAATTGAAAGCTGCATATATAAACAGAAATCTGCTATTAAATGCAGAATGTCTCCTTGCGTATGTGGTCTGGGCAGGGCCCTGAGCTTGGTTCCATGCTTTTCTGCTGTCGTTCCAAAATCTTAAATTTTTACTTATTTATTTTATTTTTTAGTTGGAGTCTTGCTCTGTTGCCCAGGCTGGAGTGCAGTGACAGGATCACAGCTTATCACAGCCTCGACCTCCTAGGGTCAGATGATCCTTCTGCCTTAGCCTCTCAAGTCGTTGGGACTACAGGTGTGTGCCACCACGGTTGGCTAATTTTTTGACTTTTTGTAGAGATGAAAGTCTCACAATGTTGCCCAGGCTGGTCTTGAACTCCTGGGCTAAAGCAATCCTCCTGCTTCGGCCTCTCAAGGTGCTGGGATTACAGACATGAGCCACTATGCTCGGCCAAATCCTGAATAATTTTGAACAAGGGGCCTTGCATTTTTATATAGCTCTGAGCCCTGCGAATTATGTAGCCAGTGCTGCTGATATGTTAATGATATTAAAAATCTGAATCATATTGTCCACCTGCAAACAGCTGAGGATTAACATTTCACAATCATTCATGTATATAAATGAATGGTGTGAACAGTTAATCCTACTGCATACTGGGTCCTTAACAAAGGAACAAGTGAAGCTTGACTTGTGTACTAGTACTCAAAAGGAAGTCTCATGGGATTCCTGTGGTCCCCTGAACACAACAGAGGTGTTTCCTGGTCACCTGTGGTTCATCTGTTCAGTTGATACTGGCTGGCCTTGGGTCATTTCCTTCTTGGCAGTCACATAATACATCTTTTCTGTTTCCAGCCTTCACTTAATAGCACTGAATATGTTCATATTCATTTGTCCATGCTCCAAAATGGAAAAATGTCTCAGAAAAACTAACTGCTATGGTTTGCCATCTTAAAGTATTATAAGTTTCAAGAATTTGAAAAAACCCAGTTTTAAAAAAATCATTAACACAGTGGTCTGTCAAGCTACGTTGTTATCATGAAGAGTGAGAACCAGGGAAGCTATGGAAGACACACAGACAAAACTCACCCCCAGTCTGCAGAAATCTCAGCTCACCTGGATATTAAGCTGCACCTTTTCCATCTCAACACCAAGGAATTTTGATCGGACGTCGAAAATGCCCACATCTTCAGTAGCTATGATATCAAATGTAACATTCTTAAACCTAGTGAAGAAAGGAACATTTGCACACATGAAATCACAAATACAGCAAATGCTTAACGCCAAAACAAACTAATGGAATCCCGAGTTATCATTTTGAGTGAATGGCCAATTGAGAAAATTCTAAGTACCAAAAGCCTCCTCTTTCCTCTCTCTGCTTCCTAAAAGCTGGGTGTCGTGGCTCTTCTTGAGATGTGTAGCTCACAGAGCACGGCGTGGGCACTTTATTACAAAAGAAATAGAAGACAAGGTCCTTGCGCTCATGGAGCATAAAAGATAGCTGAAAATATGTGTGAGTCACAGAATATGGCTGTTAAATATTGATCTACGTTGCTGGTAGGCCATTCGAGTATTTCAGATGATGACTTTTATAGAAACATAAAAAAGAGGAAGAAACATGTTTTAGAGTTGGTGTTGTCAAGAGAAACTTTCATGGCATAAATGCAGCCAGGCTCTACGGCAGGCAGGTGACAGAGAGGAGGCTAATGCAGGTGAATCTGGCTTCCCTGGAGACAAAGGACAAGGGAGTGATGGTGAGAGAAGAGATAGCTAGAGAAAAACTAGGCAGACAGACAGGGAAGGTCTTCCGGTAGCAATGCAGTGAACTCCCGGCAGGCCTCTCAGGCTGATGCACTCCGCTTGGAACACAAGCTAGAGCTTAAGTACTCACTGCTGGGATGGATAAACAACTCACCAGCTTACTGCCAAGTACTGACCTATCAGATCATCATTAGGTCCCTACCTCCTGCCGACTGGCCCTTAGTACTGACCAATCAGCATAGCTAGTGTTAGCCAGTCGACTTGGCGTTAGGGCTATATAAGCACCAGATTGCCGCTCCCACTTGGCAGCCTCTTCGGGTTCCCTTTCGCTGTGGGAGCTTTTCTATCCTCTCAACAAATACTGCTGTCTCACTTTCCGCTGTCCGTGTCCCTCATTCCTCCTGGGCATGGGATAAGAACCCTGACCTGAAGAGCAGCAGAAAATCGTCAGAGCCGAAGAGCTGTGCACCCTGGCGGCTGAACTGGGAGAGCTGCTGGAAGAAGGCAAGACTCCAAAGCTGAGACACTTCTGGGGGCTGCAACACTCTCAGGGCTTGGCTTGCCAGCCCACTAAAGCCAACACTCTGGGGGCTAGGCTTGCCGGCCCACCGAGTCAGCAATACTCTCAGGGCTTGGCTACCCAGTCCATTAGAGCCGACACTTCCAGGGCTAGGCTTGCCAGACCCTTAAGCGATCCTCTCTGGGGCTTGGCTGGCTGACCCATTGAGCTGACACTCTCGAAGCCCAGGCTGACCTGAAAAATCCTTATCAATGGGGCACTGAACTCGGAAGTCTTTTATTTTTATTTATTTATTATTTTTGAGTTGGAGTCTCACTCTGTCGCCCAGGCTGGAGTGCAGCGGAAAGCTCATGGCCACCACAGCCTTGACCTGCTGGGGCTCAGGTTATCCTTCCACCTTAGCCTTCCGCGCAGCTGAAATTACAGGCAGACATCACCATACCCAGCTAGTTTTTTGATTTATTGTAGAGATGTCTTGCCAAGTTGCCCAGGCTAGTCTCGAACCCATGGGCTCAGGCAATCCTCTCACCTCGGCCTCCCAAAGTGCTGAGATTATAGGTGTGAGCCACCACGCCCAGCCTCAGAAGCCTTTTTGTTTATTTGTTTTGTAGAGATGAGATCTCGCCATACTGCTCAGGCTGGTCTCGAACTCCTGGGCTCAGGCAATCCTCTTCCCTCAGCCTCCCAAAGTGCTGGGCTCAGAAGCCTTTTAAAAGGAGGATGTGCGTGGTGCCTGACATGGGGTGTGGAGCAGGAGGCCTCCTATTTCCCCGCCATCTTGAATGCACACATAGCATGCTGCTGGAAGGTTTGGACTCAGGGTTGGCACAGTCTGTGGCTTTGAAATTAAAAAGGTGCAGCTTTGCAATTGTAGATAACTCATCTAGCGAGACCATATGACATCTTTCATTCTTACTGCTATGACTTAGCTCCTTTGGAGCGATGAGGGAGGCCTGCGAATCCACACATTAGACGAACCATGGGAAAGACAACCACTTACTCAGCATGTTGTGCGACCACCGGCACCAGACACCGAGGCCCGAGGGAAAGACTAGCCTGTACAATGCACGTGTTCTTCCCTTGTTGTCTGTAGTCAAGGTCAAGCCTCACTAGAAGCTCTCGGAGGCTTTGGGGAACGGACAAACCTGTATCAGAACTTAAGTGAGCGAACAGGTGGTGCATGTCCTGCGCACTCACTGGTTTGTCTGAAGGTCATCGATCCCCAGCAGGATGCCCTTCTCATGCAGCTTTGCCGCTGTGTACCTCACCGGCTTCGCCCTCTTTGCCCCCTTGGGTTCTCCTTTTCCATCCAGTTTAATGGATCTCCGAGTATTTCTGGCAAAATGAGAACAGACCATTAGTTGTTATGATGGCAGACTCTGGTGTTTCGGGTAGTGCAGTGACCATGCCCAGGGTGACACTACGATTCGTACCTGGCTCCACAGCATGAATGCTGCCTTTTTATTTTGTGATAGTAGGTAACTTTCCCATGTAGTCAAACCTCACTACCAAACTGTCTGGGAGAAAGGAATTCCCCAAGTGACAGAAGTTTGCATTACAGAGCTTTTACTTTTTTAGTCAGGGTCTCATTCTGTTGCCCAGGCTGGAGTACAGTGGCATGATTATGTCTCATCACAGCCTCAAACTCCTGGGCTTAGGCGATCCTTCTGCCTCTGCCTCCCAAGTCATTGGGATGACAAGCATGTACTACCACATTCGGCTGATTTTTTGTAGAAAAAAGGTCTGGCTATGTTGTCCAGGCTTGTCTCGAACTCCTGGACTCAATAATCTTCCTGCTCAGCCTTCCAAAGTGCTGAGATTACAGGCGTGAGTCACCATGGCCAGCTGAATACTTTTTATAAAACTTAACTCGATCTTCTCAGGCATACTGAATAAAGTGGCTATTTCCCAACCATTTCGCAATTAGCTCTGGTGCAGTAACATGAACTGTGTATTCCTAAGTAAAGGTATTACTAGGACTGATTTAATTTTTTTTTTTTTGAGTTGGAGTCTCACTCTGTCACCCAGACTGGAGTGCAGTGGCCGTTCCCGGCCACCGCAGCCTCGACCTGCTGGGCTCCGGCGATCCTTCCGCCTCAGCCTTCCAAGTGGCCGGCATTACAGGCATGCGCTACCACGCCCGGCTGATTTTTTGATTTATTGTAGAGATGAGGTCTCGCTGCCCAGGCGGGTCTCGAACCCGCGGGCTCAGGCAATCCACTCATCTCAGCCTCCCAAAGGCGCGGGATTACAGGCTGAGCCACCGAGCCCGGCTAGGACTGATTTAATTTATTTAAAAACACTATGTGGCTGGCACTGTTCTAAATGCTCTGTACATATTACCTCACATTCACAACATCAATATGAATGTTAATGAAATTAATAAATCCCTTTGCTACATATTATTTCATTTAGCTCTTATAACAATAGTTGTGAGGCTGGTATTCCTAATCTCACCTTAACGGTGAGAAAATTGAGGCTCAGAGAAGTTCGCTGAACTGGGTTCAAGATTTATGAACGAGAGAATAAGATCCGAAATCCAAGTCATCTGACTGCAGATCATGTGCAAAATGCCTCAAAGTGGTTCTAATGAGTATGTAAAGTAAACTCCTATCAATCTCATTTATACTGAAAATTAGCTCAACCAACTTCTTCCAGGTATAGTGTAAAAAGTTACATAAATACACACACATACATTTTTCAGGCCCCAAGCAAATGATTTAAAACATGGAACTAGTAGGGCCTAAATAAGTAAGATTTAAATTTGGTTATTTCCCTTCATCAAAACTTCTATGATTGATCCAACAATCCAATTTCTGGGTGTTTATCCAAAGATGTGAAATCAGTTTGTTGAAGAGATGCCTGCATGTTCACTGCAGCACTATTTATAATAGTCAAGTTGTGGAATCAACCTAGGTATCCTCCACCAACAGATCAAAGAATAAAGAAAATGTGACTTACATACATAAAGGAACACTATTTAGCCTTACAAGAGAAGGAAATTTTGTCATATGGGGCAACATGGATGGAATTGGAGAAAATTATGCTAAGTGAAACAGAAAGACAAATACAGCATGTTCTCATTATATGTCGAATCTAAAGAAGTTGAACTCATAGAAACAGAGTAGGATGGTGGTTGCAGAGGCTAGAGGGTAGGAGAATGAGGAGATGATGGTCAAAGGATGTGAAATCTCAGACAGAAGGAATATATATATTTTTGAGATCTATTGCACAATGTGGTAAACATGGTTAATAATAGTATATTGTGCATTTAAAAACTGCTCAGAGTAAGTTTCAAGCATTCTTGCCACAAAAAGAGGATTTGAAGTGACTGATATGTTAACTTGATTTTATGTAGTATTCATAAATCATAACATCCCCTAGTATCACGAATACATGCAATTATAAACAGTCAATTTGCAATAAAATTTAAAAGATCTATGATTAATGTGATTGATTTTTCCATATAGTACCATTTCCTATTTCCAATTCGATGACAAGGATTATATGAAAATATCGTGTTATATGTTTAAATAGGTAATTGAAATTTAATTTGCATTGACCCTGGTCTAGTAATAGGAATAATAATGAGCCAAGTGTATTCATTAAAGATGGCTATACTGTGTATAAAAATCTGTAGTACACATACTAATGGATAACAGAGAGCTGCCAAAATTTGCCTGTTGTGGCAATAACAATTTTTAAAAACTGTTAAGCAATTTAAAATCATTAAGCCACTCTGTGCAATTAGCAAATATCTAGCATTGCCTGGCATTATCCAAACATTATATAAAACATTGTTTATAATACACATTCCAAAAATGAGAGTAGATTTTTAAAAAGTGTTTTAAAGACAACTTTGACTAAAAAAGACAAAAGGGATAATAAAAGTGCTTCCCTAAGTAATCATGCTGCTTGCTTAAAATACAGCAGGAAGGTCACTTTAATTCTAATGCTGATGGAGAATTAAAAAGCTTCCAGATTTGCTCCTGACTTCTTAGTTTACAGTGGCAAATAATTAAGTTGAGATTCTAGTTTTTGGTTATAGGATAGAGCGAACAGTTTGCTTCCAAACCCAACCCAACAGCCCAGAAATGTAGAATTGACATCTCATATAAATCATGATGTCACAAATGAGCATGCTATGATCTTAACTTACTTCCTTTTTAAGTTGTCTAAACACGTCTTTATGTAGGTGTCATAATAATCAACTTGCTCTTCATAAAATGCTGCCTTCTCGTTAAGTGCCTTCAGGGTCTGCTGAAGTTTTGCCAATTCAGCTTTTCGAAGCTTACGATAGATTCTTTGATTTCGGATATCCTAAAACAACAAGCAAAGGCTCTCAGACTGAAGCAGAAGTTTGCTTTAAGATATTGCCAATGGGACAAGAAGAGAACCAGGCAGTACTAAGCCATGATTTGTGACTGTTAACTTGTAGCTTATCTTGGGCACCTTAGTTCATTCTCAACACCAAAGCATTCCCATCCGTTTTAACTTCAGAACTAGAAAGTGTCTATATTTCACTTTAAAGATGTGCTAAGGTTTATTTTTCTCTTGAAAGAAAAGCAAAGAAGTAATTTTAGCAAAACCATGCAATTAGTTTAAGGAAAAATAGTGTTTTAAAAGGGGCACAGAAAGGACTAGCAGGCAGATGCAATTTCTTCAGACTATTTTGAACATTCCTCTTTGAAAAATACTTTAAGCTAAAAAGGTTTACACTTAATTGTTGAGTTCATTTTAGAAATAAGTAAAAAACAACCTTTTTCATCTGACAAATATTTCTCAAGGTTTGAAAAACAACAACTGGTCTCTCAAGACTGACGGAAAAGTTTCAACATTGATAACTATTACTTGGAGTTAAATAGAATTCGTAGAACATTAAGTTGCATAAGCTGTTTATAGCTTACAAGAACCATGCTAAATTTAAACTTGCAAATATAAGATTTTTTTGGTAATTCTAATTGATAAGTTATGAAAATATTTCATTTAAGAAAATGGTGCCTGTTTAATCTTACTTTTTCTTTGTAGACAAATTAAAAACCATTTCCCTAGGTGTTCAGAGACACCCACATATACACAAATGCCCACAGTCCTCAACACTCTTGTTAAGTAAAAAGTTTTAATTATAGAATATTTTGGTAGATGCCTTCGTGAGCCCCTCCTTAAAAGCAAAAGCATCAATTTTTCTATCCCATATTCTCAGAGTGAAATATTCCTATTCTAAAGCTACAGAAAAAAATGCTACTTCTCTTGAGTCACTTGGGCTAGAAGAAATTAGCCTGCTGCTAAAATTGACCATAATTTCCCACAGAAAATTAGAAGCTAAGTGCATGTCCCTCCCAGAAGCTGAGAATTCTTTTTTCCTGGTTACTTAACTGCCTTTAACCTTCAGACTCATATTAATTTGTATGTTAGGATAAAAAGAAAGAAAAGTCCATCTAACCCAAATATATACTTCCTTATCCTTGACAAACAGATCTCAGCCACTTCCTGTGATGTTTCACTGCACAAAGTTGAGATCCTTTTCTCAGGAAGTTTCTAAGTATAAAAATATGGGATGAGAAAACAGAAACTAACCTTTAAGTCTGAACTGAATTTAGGCTAAACTTCTTAGAAACAAATTCTGTGGGAAACGGCGTTACCATCTCAATGGCAGATCCAAAGAGCAACTGGGCTATATGACAACTAACAATTCAGGACAAAACTCTCCCAAAAGTGTCATTTAAAAAACTAGTAGGTATCTGCTAGAAAGGCATAGACCAAACTTGTCTGTTATATTTCTTGAGCATTTACTTCTGGTGTGCTTCAACTCTCCTAATGATTGGGGGGAGTTGTGATTATTCTTTGCTAAAAGCTATCAACTGCTCCAACACCTTTAAAAGTCTGGAACATGAAGGAGAGCAGGAACTATGGCATATGCAGCTATGTGTCCTTCATGCCACTCCAGAGTGCCCAACATGTGACTGATGATGAGTAAATGTCAGCTAGGTGAAGAAAGAAAACTGTTTCCAACAACCTTGGCAATCTCGTTGAGAATGTCTTGGTATTTATTTTTGGATGACACACGTCCGGTCTGTTCCAACGTCCGAAGGTTCCTCTGGATTTTCCTCTTCTTCTGCTCAAGAGGCAGCTGTGTATCTTCCATCATAGGCTGGCTATCTTTCGTTTCTCCTGGAGTCCTGGAATCGATCACTGCACGGCTCACCATGTCTGCAGCATGATCGGCTTCCTGAAAGGAGAGTATCGAGATGCTGGTTTTTCTCTGATCCCCTAATCTCACAGATTCACAAGCTACACAACGCATGTTGATGTCAACATGAAGGAAACTTCTAGCCCAACCTCAAAGACCAGCACCAGAACATGTTCTTCATGGGTTCTGAAGTAGGTTTTTGAAATGACTTTCAAATTACTTTCTTTTTGCATAACACAGCAGTGACTGCAGGCCTACTTTGGGCAAATCTGTAAATAGCTACTTTATTACCAAGGTGACAAATCACCTTAGTATTGGACATGCTTTATACTTCCCTAGATGGAAGGATTTCAATTCCTGGATAGTCCAGCTGAGGAAACAAAAACTAGGTTATCCCTAAAGATGTGCTAAGAGAACCCTGAATGTCAAGAACCTGACTCAACTCTCACATGTTGGCCACATTCATGAGCAAATTAGAGTGAGGCAGTCAGAGAGCCTCTTGCCAACAAGGGAATCGCAAAGCACCGACTCTGATAACCTGCAGGGTTTCTTTAAGCCAAAGGGAATAAGAAGGTTCTAGCGGCTGGGCTTGGTGGCTCAACCTGCACTCCAGCCTGGGCAACAGAGTAAGCCTCCAATTAAAAAAAAAGAATGTTCTGGCATCCAGTAAGTTCTCAAAAAACACTGAGTAAATAAATGAATGACTACTAGTTAGCTAGATTGTTCAAGAAAACAGCAATAAGAAGAGATTGGTGATCCTCCCACTTCACTGTACTAGACAACTGGCTGACCCACTAGATGAAGGCTAAAGATGTGACTTTTTTTTTTTTGAAGTTGGAATCTCATTCTATTGCCCAGGGTGGAGTGCAGTGGCATGCTCATGGCCACCGCAGCTTCGACCTGCTGGGCTCAGTTGACCCTTCTACCTCAGCCTTCCAAGTAGCTGGAACTACAGGCATGTGTCACCACGCCCAGCTAATTTTTTTATTTATTGTAGAGATGAGGTCTCACCAAGTTGCCCAGGCTGATCTCGAACCCCTGGACTCAGACAGTCCTCCTGCCTCGGCTTCCCAAAGTGCTGGGATTACAGAGAATAAAGTCCTATATACTAAATTAGTAAGATGTTCTACTTACATTATTTCAAACTTATTTGTACATTAACAAACATATAATTTTTGTTGTTTTTGTTTTTTCCATCAGAGTCTCACACTGTAGCCCAGGCTGAAGGGCACAGCTTCAACCAACAGGGCTCAGGCAATCCTTTCGCCTCAGCCTCTGGAGCAGCTGGGAATACAGACGTATACTACCACGACTGGCTAATTTTTTGGTTTTTCACAGAGACAGGGTCTCACCAAGTTGCCCAGGCTGATCTCGAACCCCTGGACTCAGACAATTCTTCTGCCTCGGCCTCCCAAAGCACTGGGATTATAGTGTGAGTGAGCCACTGCACCCGGTCACGTAACTAAATTTTGTTTTATATTTTTTAAATTAAAAACTGTGACAGAATGATTTATTGGCAACTAATTAAATTAGGAATGACTAAGAAAAGTTATGTGTAACTCTGCTAAGAAGTAACTAATTAGATAATTTTTAAACGTTTGTTTAGGGCGTGGTAATTATTGGTACTATAACAATAACTTTGAAATTAACTTATTTCAGAATGAACTAAACAATGACACATTTTAAAAGATGTTGATAAAATGTTTAATGAAAGAGTCTCATAAAACTTTACTTATACCAACATAATGGTGCTCTGACACAATGGCCTCAACATTGGCTGCTGAAGCGTTTGGAAACTAGTTTTAATGTGTGTGTCGGATCTTTGTTTCTTTCAAGTTTCCAAATATATAAACCATGAAAGGTATATTTCTACATCCTTTCAACCAGAACTGTGTCTCAGCTGACTTACCTGCCCTTTCACTGTGTGACAAGGTTTATGTCACCCAGACTGGAGTGCAGTGGCACGCTCCCAACCATCGCAGCCTCGACTTGCTGGTCGCCGGCGATCCTTCCGCCTCAGCCTTCTAAGTAGCTGGAACTATAGGCACGCGCTACCACGTCTGGCTAATTTTTGATTTATTGTAGAGATGAGGTCACGCCAAGTTGCCCGGGCGGGTCTCAAACCCACGGGTTCAGGCAATCCACTTACCTTGGCCACCCAAAGCGCTGGGATTACAGGCTGAGCCACCTAGCCCGGCCACAAAGTTTATGATGAGCATTTCAAGGCTTTGAAAAACGCAGAACTATCTCCCTAGTCTCGGATAACTTAACTTCAGCATAAACTTGGTACTGTATTTATTTCATTTTCATTGATATTCCACGTGAGTTTTATATAAGGCTGAGCTCAGCTGACTACACGACCAGATGAAAAATCCCTGATTTATGAGCCATATCAGAAGTTTCTCCAACATAACAGTAAACATTTGGCATGAAGCTTTATTAAGAAAATCAACTCCTGTCTATTATACTTATTATTTTACATTTAAAGACAAATTACCGGCCGGGCTCGGTGGCTCAGCCTGTAATCCCAGCACTTTGGGAGGCCTAGGTGAGTGGATTGCCTGAGCCCGCGGGTTTGAGACCCGCCTGGGCAACTTGGCGAGACCTCATCTCTACAGTAAATAAAAAATTAGCCAGGCGTGGTAGCGCGTGCCTGTAGTTCCAGCTACTTGGAAGGCTGAGGCGGAAGGCTCGCCAGAGCCCAGCAGGTCGAGGCTGCAGTGGCCGGGAGTGGCCACTGCACTCTAGTCTGGGCGACAGAGTGAACTCCACCTCAAAAAAAAAAAAAAATAAATAAATAAATAAATAAAGACAAATTACCTGTTGTGCAGTGGCTGGTGTCTCTAGGATTTCTGTCAACGTGTTCCCTGGCTGGTTCCGGATCACATCAATTATCAGCTTTTTGGTCCTTACAAAATAGGGAAAGAAGAGACAGACTTTCAGACAGCAGTCCTGATGCACAAAAATCCACTTCCTCCAAAGGAGTGAACAGAAACATGCAAAAATGAAGCTTCATAGATAATCCCTTACAATAAAACATTCTTGCTGAAATTCACCGGGTCTGCTCCAAGGCCTCCACAAGTTTGTGAATATTTGATATTAGAAGTTTAGGCTTTAAAGGATTGACGCTGCAGGATTATACTGTCAGTAACACAAACCTGAGTGTGCCACAAGATTCCCTACCCAAACACTTCTCCTTTTTAGATTGAGATGACTTTTTGGTGAGCAGGAGAGGCAAGTGCCGTGGGCATAGCCTGCTACTGCAAAGAGTACAGGAGTGACAGCTAACATCCTGCTTTCCTACTTCAATGGCATTTAGACTTCTGAGCCTGTCTGATGCATCATGAGCTTCAAGAAGCCAGATCAACTACTACCCATACTGCCTGAGAAATTGAGAAGCTGTCTGAAGACCAGTGGAAGAGGTCCTGTGGGCTTGAGGCTCTGGGCTGCTGGCTGACACAGCAGCTAGGGGATAAATGTCCATGGCCTGAGGAGCTAACAAGGTGGGGGCCTGGTCTTCAGGTGGGAGGGAACAGGAGACCTGCTCCGTGAACAGTTAGGAGTGGAAAGTTCTGGAAGTGCTAAAGCCCTATGTTCTTCTGTCAGTGCCCTGTAGGCAATGGGCCGCATCTCTGGAACTGGGGATCAGGTTCTGTGACTATGTAGAAAGATTCAAGTTTGCTCACTCTTACAAAAGATGGGAACAGCATTATTGGGAAAAAAAAAGGCAGCATAAATAGAAGTTGCCTCAAGTGAAACACAGGTCTAATTGATATCTGAGGTTTCACCCTTATTGTAACCCTGTTAACTGCATTTAACTTCACTTCTCTCAGTGGCATTACAAGGTATCACCGGAGGATTCATTTCTTTCTAAACTGCAGCAGGAAAGCTCACACAGCATGATGTTTGAAAATGCAAAGAAAATGTTAACATTTTGAAGCACAGGAGCAACTGCTCCCAAGTGAAAGAGAAAACCCTCTAATTCCAAATATATGATTTTTGAAAACAGGATAAAATTGAATACGCCATCTGTATACATGACTTTTCTCACTCCTATTGTACCGCAAGTCTGCTTGAGAAGAAGGATCACAGCATGGTTTCCTTCCCCCTCCTGCCTCCAGCCTCTGAGAACCATTTCCTCTGGCCCCGTGACCCTTTGCTGCTGGGGATTTACAGGCTGTCTGGAAATGCATAGCTAACACTCCACTGAGAGTCAAAGGTGGGCACACAGCTAATTATAGCCACGGGGCATGGCCCGCCCCTGGCAGCTCTGTGTGGAGCTCTGTGAAGTCGCACATACCCTTTCTTCCCTCCACAGCTCCCCACTCAGTCATCAATGTATTACATGACAACACTGAGCTAAAAATAAAAGCTCAGGATGATTTTTAAAATGTCAACATAGTAACTGTTTTATTTGAAATAACATTCTAGGAGCTACTTAGGATGCACACTTCTAGGAAACTCCTAGCTTATCTTCTTTAGAGAAGCTGTCTAACGACCAAATGACTAGGGTCACTAAAAACATGCCCCACTGGGACAAGGAACGTTTATTTGTTCAGGGGTTGCTGGGTACAAACTGCCCATACAGCCTAGTTCCCTTGGAAACTACATCAGGCTGGTGAAAGCCATTGCCAAAGTTCTACTTAAGATATTCAGTGTATCAGGAAGTACCCAGTCCCATGACAGGGACTCCAACTACATGCCCCCGTGGTGTGCCCAGTGGGTATGGACATCAGGGTTAGACATATCTGAGGCTAAGTCTGGGCTCCTGTTGCAGATGAGCCATGTGGACTTGTACAAGTTACATAATTCCTATAGTTCTGGGGTTTTTTCTTTTTGTTTTTGCTTTCCATTTATGAAACAGGAATCTCTCAGAGGACTGTTGCAAGGATTGAATGAAAAGGTGTAAAGCCTTTCTCAGAGTCTGACATATGGCAAAAGCTAATGTGGCTATTAAAGTTGTGCTGCCTACGATGACAGCCACTGCCCATAGGTGGCACTTAAACACTTGAGACACAGCAGGTCCACAGTGAGATGAGCTGTGAGTGTAAAACACACACTGGATTTTGAAGTTGTAGTATGAAAAAAAAAAAAAAAAAGCCCAGTATCTCTTTAACAATGTTTATGTCAATTACTTATTGAAATGATATTTTGGATATATTGAGTTAAATAAATTATTAAAATTAATTTCGCCAGTTTCTTTTTTTTTTTAAAGTTGAAGTCTCATTCTGTCACCCAGGCTGGAGTACAGTGGCATGATCATGGCTCACTGCAGCCTTGACCTCCTGGGCTCAGGTGATCCTTATGCCTCAGCCGCCCGAATAGCTGAAACTACAGGCATCACCACACCTGGCTAATTTTTATTTTTATTTTTTTTATAGCGCTGAGGTCTCACTATGCTATCCAGGCTGGTCTCGAACTGCTGGCCTTAAGCAATCCTTGTGCCTCAGCCCCCCAAAGTGCTAGGATTATAGGCGTGAGTCATCATGCCTAACTCATTTGCTGCTTTTTGAAATGTGGCTTCCAGAAAAGTTAAAATTACATATATGGCTCATACTAAATATCTTTTTGGAGAGTACTGCATTGGAGTATCCCATTCTCAAACAGGAGCTCACTCTGACAGACCTGACCTCCAGTGATATCCACTCATGGGATCTGATTAGTCACAAGAGTTTAGCCCTGTAGTGGACCTGAGGGAAACAATCCAATCCGTGGTTCTACAAATGAGGCAACTAAGACCTAAGAGTCCAGAGTTGCAGAAAACAAGTCAAATTCCCATTCCACATCATCAGTCCCTCAAAAACCTGTAGAGACATGCTGGGGCTGTGTCTTCCCCTCCATCGTTCCTTTTCCCAAGATAAACCCCTTAGTTCTTCAAAGTGCCTAACGATAGAAAAGTTCACAGTTCTCTTCCCATTTCAGTTGCCAATGACCTTTTACAGATGTGTCCTCTTCCACACCCTAGTGCAAATACAATACTCTAGATATGGTCTGACCAGCATGAATCAACTGCTGAGAGTACTGGCTCCAAGACTCTTCAAACAATATGTAAGACAGGTTGATCCAAACCAAGGATCCCGCCCTCCTTGAACGAGGAGATATCTAATTCCGACAAAGAATTAAGAAAAAAACAAAAAGAAAAAAGAAAAGAAATACACTAGGGAGTTTATTCATCACAGCTGTGCTCAAATTGCACTGTCGGTAAATGAGACTACGTGGCGCTTGTAAGCTGGTGTGACCCCTTGCCTTAGCCATTCGGCTCACACGGCATGTATTATTACCAGGAGCATTCCTGAGTCTCCCCCTATCGTCTGCCTTACTGTGTGTTCCCAGGCCGAAAAGGAATTTGTGTTCGTGAAAGCTAAAGAATATTTCTAATGACATCATTACATGGTTTTTAGCACCAGACCTCAAACATTATCTGAGCCATTCAGTACTCCTTGCTTTTGAGACCAAAAGCAAGGAAATCTTTCAATTGGGATAATGGATATCTAAACTGCATCATGTGCTAGAAGAAAAATTCTTGCTGGGCTCAGTGGCTCAGCCTGTAATCCCACGCCTTTGGGAGGCTGAGGTGAGTGAATTGCCTGAGCCCGCGGTTCAAGACCCGCCTGGGCAGCGAGACCTCATCTCTACAATAAATAAAAAATCAGCCAGGCGTGGTGGCGCATGCCTGTAATTCCGGCTACTCATAAGGCTGAGGCGGAAGGATCACCGGAGTCCAGCAGGCCAAGGCTGCGGTGGCCGGGAGCGGCCACTGTACTCCAGTCTGGGTGACAGAGTGAGATTCCAACTCAAAAAAAAAAAGAAAAAAAAAAAAAGAAAAATTCTTGAGAGATGACAACTTAAGAAGTATGATTAAAAACCACAAATATTGCCTTCTTAAACAGACATACTTTTGTAGGACAACAAGCCTAATAAAGGCCATAAGAATCACATATTTATAAACTGAATCATAAGTTATAATGAAAGAGATTTACAATTGCATAGTTCAGTATAATTTATTAGGTATTGATGATAACTTCATGTGATCATCATAGTCCTTCGCTTCCCCTCTCCTCCATGTTACAGATGAGGAAAATGATGGTTAGACAGCTTGCTGTATTCTTTGGCTGACAATCAACAGACTGAAGCTGTAATGCTATGACATCCTAGGACTCCTCAACCAGGCTTTAGGGTACCTCAACCAGGGTTGTTTGTTTTTTTTTAATAGCCTCATGCTTGGCAGTACTTGGAAGACAGCAATAACTCCAAGGGAAAGAGAAATCAGTGTTTCTTTCTCTTTCTGCTCCCATATGTCCCCTTTGTGTCCCCCATGTCGATCCACTTCTTCTCTCTGACCTGGAAAGAGGCCCCAGCATCCATCATGCAATAACTGCTCAGTCATAATTCTCATTATTCATTTTAGGATTCCTTAGAATGCAAAGAACAATGAATGACTTTGCCCTCAAAGAGTTGTAAAACTTTGTGATAAAGAGTGTAGGCCTGGCCGGGCACAGTGGCTCAGGCCTGTAATCCCAGCACTTTGGGAGGCCAAGGCAAGAGGATTGCCTGAGCTCAGGAGTTTGAGACCAGTCTGAGTAACTTGGCGAGACCTTGTCTCTACAATAAATCAAAAAATTAGTCGGGTGTGGTGGTGCATGACTGTGGTTCCAGTTACTTAGAAAGCTGAGGCAGAAGGATCACCTGAGTCCAGCAAGTCGAGGCTGTAATGACCGTGAGTGGGCCACTGCACTCTAGTCTGGGTGACAGAGTGAAACTCTGACTCAAAAAAAAAGAACAGTGCAGCCTTGGTGGATTTAAAATCATTGGGCTTAGATCTCCGCTTCACTTACAAGCTGCGTTACCCAGGAAAAGAATGACATCTGTTCTGTACCTAGTTTCCTCATCTGCTAAATATTGGTAATT